CGTACCCAATAAATTACACTTTATGATACATAATCTAATCCACAACAGATGAGTCTCGAATGGCAAGTGTAACAAACACACATAAAAGAAACAACAACAACGAAAATAGCTATGTCTGGCATTAGATATCCTCCACAGTACGTACAAACGTAGCAGCACTACCGCTGACACAGCATCCTCGGTTGTTTGCCCGTTAAGTTATCAATTATTTATGAGTGTTGATGTGTGGCAAGGCAAAGTTGTTGCCATCAAGGGGCCAATGAAATAAAATATTTTGTCATGAAAAATTGTGCAAAAAAAAAAGTTAGAATTGAAGAAAAAAAAAAGCAGCATATGAACTAAATTACGTGGCAAGGTTAATTTGATGAATGACTAAGTTTTGTGGGGTTACAGACTTTTAGTTGTCACCCCAAGTCCATTGGGGATTGGGTGGCTCCCAAAAACCTATCGTGTGACACATGATGAATCTTTGGTAAACTTTCATGGAATTTTTCGAGGAAGGTGATAAGGGGCCGCTATCAAAGGACCCATGTTGGCTCGCCCAAAGAGGAAAACTAAAGGTTTTTTTGAAAAACCCCTAGGTTATCCTCAACAATAGTAAATATATATATAATAGAAGATACAGCGTGAGATGAAAAAACTGCAACCAACTTCAGACTACTGTCATTTCTAAGCCACTCGTCCGACAGCTGTTAAAATTATTCCAGTGACAGATCATTATATTGTTAACAAGCGTACAAAACCATTTTGGTGAGAATTTTCCAGAAATAAAGTTATACGTGATGGAATTAAAGCGTGATAGTGTGATTTCTTTATATTTGGCTGGCAAGTGGCTATCGATAGAGTACTCCAGCATTTAAATGTGAATAAATCTTTTGTGTCTCGTACCATCGCTCGTTACCGTGATACTGCTAGCGTAGCCCGACTTCAAGGAAGTGGGCGGAAGAATATAGCAATATCAGCCGAATTGGTTCGAAAGGTAAAAAAGCGACTTGATCGAAACCCGTCGAGTCGCAGTGACCGAAAAATGGCCCCTAAGCTGAACATATCGCAATGCTGCATTCGGCAAATATTGAAAAATGCGCTCGGGATAAAGCCATTGAAATTCCAAAAAGTGCAAGAACTTACACCGCAACAGAAAGAAAATAGACTCAAAAGAGCTAAAGAGTTGCTTCGCTTGGCCGAAAGTGGTTGATTTTGGTTGATTTTCTCGAATGAGAAAACATTCGTTGTCCAGCAGTTTGTAAACAAACCAACAGATCGTGTCTACTTGCCAAAAGGTCAGCTTCGGTTGGCCACCAGAACTTAAGCGTCGGCCATGGTGATGGTGTGGGTCGCCATAACAGCCAATGACCTCTCGTATTAATCGACCGTGGCATCAGAATAAATGCCGAATATTATCGCGAAAATATTCTGGAGGGTGTATTAAAGCCTTGGGCACGCAAACATTTTGGCCGCAGACCTTGGACTTTCCAACAGGAATCAGCACCATCGCACTCAGCACGCGCCACCCAAGAATGGTTACAAAATGAGGTTCCTCGCTTCATTTCCAGCGCACAATGGCCACCAAAATCTCTGGATACCAATCCATTGGACTATTGTGTCTGGAGTATTTTGGAAAGCAAGGTTTGCACTAAAAAATTCCAAAGTGTGGATCAAGCGTTTCGCCGGGAATGGGTCGATATACCGCAGAGCAGCATTTGGGCAGCGTGTGACGGTTCCATTAATTCATACCAAAGGTCACCAATTCGAACAAATCTAAACTTATTCTAAAATTTGATGCTATTTCCGACACTTTTTGCTTTTATTCAATAAAATTTTAAAAAAATAAAAATATGGCGTATGTATATTCTTCAAATTATTCTGAGGTTAACTTCCGATTCCAATTTCGTCTTCTTCATAGGTTTACTGTGAAATAAAATCTTTTTAAAGCCAAGTTTTGGTGTTCTGCTCTCTTTTATTTTCTCATTTCTCTTTAAAAACAAAATAATTTTCCGCAATTTTTCCCCCAAATAAATGACACCAAACATAGGTCACGAAACTCTTTATATCTTTCGGAAGTTTCATATCGAAATATATTAATATCGAAAATAAATAAATAATAAGTTTCTACGATTTTTTTAGGATCAATTCGTTATTCCTTGTCTTTTTAAGGTTTTCACCAAAATGGCGCCCAACATGGGTCACAAAGAACTTTACATACTTTTGGAGGATAAAAAAATATTAAAAATGAAGCTCTATTACAATAAATGCGATACGGTGAATAGAATTCTTCTCTTCTCTTTGAAGATTAAAACACTGGACTAGTAAAAAATGGCGCCCAACATGGCAATATTCTACATATTTTATTCCTGTTCCAACATTTTCCATATATTACTTTGCCCACAGTTCCAAACTGTGTCTCATAACTATGGTTGGTAGAGATGAATAATGTTTTCTTATTATGGCGCCCAACGTAATATCCAACTTCATGATTTATTTCTTGTGTACAATATGTTTATATCTTGTGGATATTAATGAGGATCTTGGAACTCTTTACTGTTTGCGGAGGCTCATCCCTATTCTTAGACCCAATTTCTTACTACATTTCTTATTGTATATAAATGGCGCCCAATGAGAGAATTTCTTTGCTTCTTCTGCTTTAAATTAGACTTCATTATTCCCAATCTCTTAGAAAAAATATTTTGAAATATGTCTTCTTCTTCTTTAAAACTCTCAGTATTTATTTAGAATCCTTACTCCCTAGCCCTTGGGAATATGTTAAATACGATCCAATTGAGCTGATTTGTATTTCCAACTTCCTCAGACACATTTCATAATACAATTAAAAAAGCATCGAGAACAACAACAACAACGACCGTTACAAATTCCGCCGTGTGCCATCAACGCTTCATCTTTTCGTTTTCTTTGTCTTTTCCATATTGGCTAAATAAACTCTCCGGTATAAATTGATAATGTGTGTCCGTGTGTCTGGCTTTAGTCTGGCATTTGAACTATGTAACGGATTCATCAGCAAACCATGAATCAAATTATATAACGATTACAAGCAAATGAATGAATGACTGAATGAGTGAGTGAGTGCCGCTCACAAATGTAAAATGAATGATGACACGTGGCGACAAAATGCCAGGCATGTGGTCGTCATCATTCGTAGCAGTTATCTGCAGTTGAAGTTTTACGGTGATGTGATTTAACAGGAAAGCCATTTAGGGCTTATCGTCAAGCAGTGGAGTTAAGTGGCAACACAGTGGGTCCCATTGGTATTTTTTGGAAGATGAAATAGAAAAAATTGAGAAATAAAGGAATCTAAATAAATTGGCGCCCAATGTGGAATTTATAGGTCTTGATAAGAATAATGTTTAATGTATAAGAATCGGTTATGGTTTCAAATGAAAGCTAGTGCGCCTTCTTGATTCTGATATTTGCCACCAAAAAGGAGTAAAAAACACGATTGTGCCTTTTTTTGGAATGGGGGTTCTAAATGGCGCCCAACGCCGAATCAAGACAACCTCGTTAAATGTCCTAGGTTTTTACAATATTTTTTTGAAGTTCGTCATTATTATAATGGGTTTTGAAGTGTAAATGACGGCCAACATGATCTTCAACGCCTTTGGTAATTAAAAAAAAGAAAACCGATATTGATTGTTTTATGAATTTTTATTTAGTTAAAAATGGCGCCCAATCTGGGATTAAGAAAGAAGCTTTAAACAAAAGTCAAATGAAAGCTATAGCGCGTTCTAGATTCTGATTTCTGCTATCAAAATAGGGTAAAAACGCCATTGTTACTTCTTTTGGCGTTCTAAATGGCGCCCAACGCCGACTTAAGACAACTTCGTCCAATGTCCTAGAAGGTCATCATTGAAGGCTAAATGGCGACCAACGTGGATCTTAAAACCTTTTATTTAATTAAGAATGGCGCCCAATGTGGGGCTAAGAAAGAAGTTTTATATCTAATAAGTAAGTGAAATTTTAATTTTTTAAAAACATTTTTTTCAAGGACTCGAAGAGCCTCAAACGTGGATTTTTTAAAGAATATTTTTTCAAGGACTCAAGAAGCCTCAAATGGGAATTAAGCATCTACTTATAATTGAACACCTGCAGGTCCTTGAGAATCTTTACCTTATTCTTAATTTTAATTTAAGCAAAAATTTTAGAAATGGAATTAAATCACAACCATTTACCACAAAATTTCATAATTGGTTGTAAATGGCGCCCAACGTAAAAATTGATGACTTTTTTCCCAGAATTTTCATTTTTTTCTAGGTCCTCTTCCTTTGGTTTTTGCAATGGTCAAACCCAAATATCTCTCATTTTATAAATGGCGCCCAACGTATTTCATATTCCTTTTGATTTATCCCTCTTACTTATTACAAAAACTGCAAACATATCTGAAAATCTCCTGATATTTTAAAAACCATTACCAAATCTTCCACCACTGTGTCTACTACCCCTTGCACTCTTTTGGGAACCCACAAGGACACGTGTTGGGTATAAAGAGAACAAATCTTAACTGCATTGCAATTTAACCACTTACTTGGCACAAAAACCTTAACCTACGCCTGCTAACCAACATTTGAGGAACGTAAGGCCATGTAGTTAGTTAGGGAAAACCACCCAAACATCTCTCACACAGTCGAGCAGCCAGGCAGGCAGGCGTTTTAGATTAGCCTAAAATAATATCAGGACATGGCAGCAAATAAAAATCGAAAAGCTTCTTCTGCTCGCAACAACAACAAATAACAACGCTTTAATAAATCGCCAAAAAAATGGCTGTGAACGACGTTCATTCCAATTGCCGCTCGGTGTGTGTGTGCGCGTCTTTGAATTTGAATGGAACTGGATCATAAGCTTGTTAAACAATTAGGATTTAAAACAGTTTTCGTTTAATATTTTCCCATGAATGGAGGATGAGCTAGAGAGCGTGTTGCAACAACAAGCCGACAAATTTATTGGATTCATTTGATTTTCATTTCATCCTTTCTTCGCTTCTCTTCTTTCAGGTTCCATAATGGGTTCAGCTAGCGAAGATGAAGACGATGATGATGATCCGCCACATTTACGCGGACCCCCTCTGGGTTTGGGTATGCTGGGACCAAATGGCCCAGACTCAGCAGGTGGACCATTGGGAGCATCAGATATTTCAGTACAAAGCATGAGCACCGACAGCAAAAATACCCATGACGATTCCGATCAGGTAAGTACAACAACAGCATGAAATAGTAACACCCAATGAAATACAAAACCTAATGAACTAACTGACCAAAGGAAAGGTAAAAAAGCAGAGACCAATAAATATTAAAAGAAAACTGCATTTAACTCCCCCCTCCCTCCAAGCCAAACGGGGAGAAAACATTGATCATCTTCAAAAACCCTCAAATGATTAATGATGTTTGCCAAACAATTACCAAACAAATTTGATTTTTATTTATCATCACTTTTGGTTTTGAATTTCATATGGAACACAAGTGCCAAATGGACATTTGAGTGGTGAATGGCGGGACGGACAAACACACACACGCACAGACATATGAGACAGACATTAAAGTTTCTTTAATTCTTCGTTTTTTCTTCCTATAGGGTTCCTTAGATGGCGATCCTGATGCGAGAGGCGATTCTCAGGCCGAAAACAAAAGTCCTGACGATGCCAACGGTTCAAAGCGAAGAGGTCCGCGCACAACGATCAAAGCCAAACAATTGGAAGTACTGAAAACCGCATTTAACCAAACACCGAAACCGACACGCCACATCAGAGAACAGCTGGCCAAAGAGACGGGTCTGCCGATGCGAGTGATACAGGTGAGTGCGTGTGTATATGTGTGTGTGTGAAAAATTATTGATTAATTGTTAATAGATCTATGATTGACATGTGTACTTGTACTTTGATATTGAATCTAAGAGAAGGGAAGAAATTTGGGATGGGAGTCATGGGAATTTATTGGCCTAGGAAACGATTTTGGCAAAGACCTTTTTGGAATTTGAGAAATGTTCCCATACAAATTTCAGAAAAATTATGAAAAAAATCCTTGGAAAAAATTTTCGCAGAGGCTTATATTTATCTAAAAAAAACTTTGAGATTTTCTTATAATTTTAAGAATATTTCTGATATGAATCTAAAAAAATAAATTTTTTTCCAATACAAATTTCAGGAAGTTTCTTAACAATTTTTAGATAATTTCCTGGGAAAGATTTTGGCAAAAACTTATATTTAAAAAATTTGAAAGTTTCTTATAATTTTGGGAAAAATCTTATATAAATTCTTACATAAATTCCAAAAAATTCTCAAAAATTTTTAGAAAGGAAATTACTTAAAAAAGTTTCAAAGAAATTATTTATTATTTAAAAAAAATAATAAATAAATAATTTTTTTATGAAATTTGAGAAATTTTAACAAATTTCAGAAAATTTCTTAACAATTTCTTATGGGGAGATATGAAAAAAATTCAGAAATTTTCTGAACAGCTTTTCGATAATTTCTTATAGGAAATTATAAAACAATTTCTTAAATAGATGAAAAAACTGCAACCAAATTCAGACTGCTGTCATTTCTAAGCCACTCGTCCGATGGGCCGATGCCGGGAATGGACCAAAATACAGCAGAGCAACATTCGGGTTGCGTGTGACGGTTTCATTGGCCGTTTGAAGGCCATAATTCGTGCCAAAGGTGACCAATTTGAACAGATCTAAACTTATTCTAAAATTTGATATTATTTACGACATTTTTTGCTTTCATTCAATAGAATTTAAAAAAAATGTAAAAATTATGGCATTTGACTATGACGCATTTTTTTTATCTCACCCTGTACATTTTTATATGAAAATATATAGAAAATAAACAAAATGTAGAAATTTTAAATCGCAAAATTCGAATCTTTCTTATAATTTTGAAAAATTGCTGATATAAAATTTTATTATATTCAAACAAAAAAAAAAAAAAAAAAAAATATATATATATATATATATATATATATATAAATTTTTAGAAAAATTTTCATAGGAAATTATGAAAAAATTCCGGGAAATTTCCAATGGAATTATGAGACACTTTTTTGTATAAATTCGACTCCAACAGACTTAGGTTTTAGATATAAAAACAAAAAAAAATATATATATATATAGAAATTGAAATCGGAAAACTCAAATCTTTCTTATAATTTTGAAAAATTGCTGATATAAAATCTTATTCAAAATTAAAAAAAAAGAAATAAAAAAATAGATAAGTTTCATAGGAAATTATGAAAAAATTTTGGGAAATTTCCAAAGGAATTATGCGACACTTTTTAATATAAATTCGATTCCAACAAGCATAAGTTTTAAATTTGAGAACAATTAAAATTTTGGTATATAGAAATTTAAAATCTGAAAATTGAATTTTATTTATAATTTTTTGAAATCTTTTGTTATACATTTTTATATAAATTTTCAATTTTTTTATAATTTTTTTAATTATAAAACTAGTTCATAGGAAATTATGAAAAAATAAATTATGAAATTTCCAATGGAATTATGAGACACTTTCCTATATAAATTCGCCTCAAACAGAGTTAGGTTTTAAATATAAAAATAATCAAGATTGCTGGGCTTCTTATAATTTTGAAAAAATTGCTGACATAAATTCTTTTACAAATTTTCAATATTTTTTTAAATCATTTTTAGACAATTTCTGATAGGAAATCATGAAAAAACTCCATGGAATTGTTAAAAGAATTATGAGACCCTTATCTATATAAATTCGACACTAACAGGCTCTGGTTTTAAAAATTAGAACAATTAAAATTGTTAGAAAGTTGAAATCGGCGAAACTAATCCATTTTGCCTTCCAGGAAAATCACCAAAAAATTTAAAAGTTCTGTATATCCCCTTCCCTTAACTCCAAATCGGTCTGATTTTCAAATGTTCCTTTTCCTCCGAAAAAAAAAAATCAATTTGAATTTTATTGGTTAAAGAGTTGATGGTTGAACCGCCGCACAAAAAAAAACCATGAGCAATGAAAAACAGTCACCATCCAGCGGCAGCAACAACAAAAATACCGCAACAACAACATCAACAGCCACCAAAAAAAAACGAGCTACATTTCATTTCATGGTTTTTACATTTTTATGGTCCATTGTCACGTTCCGACGTTCACTTGTACGTATACAAAATTATAAAGTGTTTACCGAAATTGTAGTAGTTGTATTCGTGTTTAACCAAGACCTCTCCCCTCCCTCTGGGCTTCGCAATTTTATTTTTTGCAAAAAATAAACCACAAAGATTCAACAGAAAATACTAAAAAAAAAGTCGGAGGAGATTGTTATGGCTAAACGAAGCTGAATTCAGACAGTCGTCGCCACAATCAAGAACATGATGCCTGCCAATGATCCAATTACAGAGATCTCTTACAATTTTTCGAGCAAAAACAACAACAAAGAAAATTATTAGATTTATCCAAAATTTTCGAAGCAACATTAACATGGCCAATTGATGGACAGACTCCCATTTTATGTTTGGCTTCCTTTCATTTTTTTTTTTTTTTTTTTTTTTTTGGAAAAAGAAAAATCAAAGCTCTCGAAAATTACAGCAAAACTTGAGGATTTCATCAGAGTCATCAAAGATTGGCGGTGGCAGTAGTAAACTGACTGACGGCTGATGATGACGATCATCGTCTTGGGTTGGAGATTTGAAACGGGTTTTGTTTCGGTTTTTTTCTACAATTTAAGTTTTATCTTCTGTATGACTGACTGACTGACTGGCCACTGAATGATCCCAAACAATTTACCATGGCAGGTGATCTCCTGACAAAATTCAAAATAAAAAAAAACCTTGCAAGACATTATCTTGGTAGTAGCTGCGGAATCTTGATTTTCTCTCCTCTCTTTTATACCGGAAGATGATTGGGCCAAAGTTTTGAGTTGCAGCAGAAAATTTTCCTCAGCAATTAGATAAATGTTTTTTAGCCATAGTCGTTGTTGTTGTTTTTGAGAAATTTAATGTTATTTCGGTAAATGTAGTAATTATTTGAAAGAGTGCATAAAATAATAGCGGCTATGGCCACAACAAAGTTGCATGGATTTTTTTTTTTTTTGAAGCGTGAAACTCTGGTAAAAGTTTGAGAGAAGCCTGGAAAAATAATTTTCAAAGAAGAACCAAAAAAAGGTTTACAGAGTTTTGAGATACATATTAGGTATACAGAAGTAGTAGGCTAAGATAATACACCAGGAAGTACCCACTACTTCGTCACCGAAAAGTCCACCTTAACATTTTAGATTCGCTCCAACAGTTCGTGTTAGGCCATTACAATATCAAATTTGGGATTTCAACCCTATACCTTGACCCAATACTAAATTTAGTACCATTTAATATTTTTCGCACAAATATGGGACGACTTTCCTAAATCACCGTCAAATTCTAACGTGAGACCTACAGACACTTCAATATCAAATTTCAGGATTTCAGACGTGGACCTGTACCCACAATTTTTTGTCACAGGCTGTAGTATTCATTACGAACTTCAAATACTAAATTTGAAATGGTTCCGGTAAATAATGTCTCTAAAATCATCAAAATACCGAATATCGGGGGGTACCGTTATATGGGGCCTATAAGAAGACGTGGAGCTGCACAGACAATTTTCTGCCATAGGCTGTAGTATTCATTACGAACTTCAAATATCGAATTTGAAACAATTCCGGTAAATAATGTCGCTAAAATCATCAAAATACCGAATATCGGGAGGTACCGTTATATGGGGGCTATACGAAGACGTGGAGCTGCACAGACAATTTTCTTACATAGGCTGTAGTATTCATTACGAACTTCAAATACTAAATTTGAAATGTTTGCGGTAAATAATGTCTCTGAAATCATCAAACTACCGAATATCGGAGGGTACCGTTATATGGGGGCTATAGGAAGACGTGGAGCTACACACACAGTTTTCTTTCATAGGCTGTAGTATTCATTACGAACTTCAAATACTAAATTTGAAATGGTTCCGGTAAATAATGTCTCTTAAATCATCAACATATCGAATAACGGGAGGTACCCTTATATGGGAGCTATACGAAGACGTGGACCTGCACAGACAATTTTCTGTCATAGGCTGTAGTATTCATTACAAACTTCAAATACTAAATTTGAAATGGTTCCGGAAAATAATGTCTCTAAAATCATCAAAATACCGAATATCGGGAGGTACCGTTATATGGGGGCTATACGAAAACGTGGACCTACATGGCTCATTTTCAATACCAAAAGTTATGCTGATATAATACACATTTGAGTAAAATTTTATCAACCTACTTCATTTCGTTCGGAAGCTAGAGTAATTTCCACAGACGGACAGACGGATAGACGGACGGACATTGCTAAATCGACATAGATTTTTATGCTGATCAAGAATATATATACTTTGTGTGGTCTAAAATGTATATTGACGGAATGACAAACCGAATATACCCTCCATACTATGGTGGAGGGTATAAAAATATTTGTTTTTTTTTATAAAAATTGATAAGAAAAGATACCCCTGTTCCATTCTACTCTAAAATGTAAAACTTCCCATATTTTGCTCATCACACAACAACAACAACAAACCCCGCCATAGTGCTCTTGAAAAGTTTTTCTCGTCTCCTTGAAAAATGAAAACCAAAGTTTATACGCCAAGTGAATGCGGTTAAAGCCGACGGTTGGTGTTTGTGAAGTCGTCGTTGAAAAATTGCAAAAATAAAATCCTAACCGTAAACCATTAGCCGTCAATATCAGACACCGGCAGACAGGAGGCAAACATAGCCATACATTTTATCCGCCGTCATCCGAAG